TAAATAATTGCACAACACAGACAACGTAATTAGACCACCACTGTGTAGGCGCAGCATTTATTAGTTAAATCAATATAACTTAATCGAACTTTTTGTTTGTTCTTTCAGATACGTGTAGAACCATCATCAACCTGTCCGAAGCTGTAGTGTATCCAGCCTCGTTAATTAGAATACGTCTTGCAGCATTCCCATATTTCCACTAGAAAAATTTCGGTGGAATGGAAATCTATGGAGGTAAAATGAATTTTTTTTTCTCTCTCTCTCTTTGTTTTATGGATATAATTATTGAATTTAGCAAATTTGTTTTTTTCTTTGTTTTTAACAGTTATTTTACTTGATTTTTTTCGGTTGACTCATGAAATGATTTACAACGTAATTCAAACATCACTGCGGTGGCGCAGCATTTATTCGTTAAATCCATAGAAATTAATCAAACATTATATTTTTTTTCTTGCAGATACATGTCGAATCATCTTCGAACAGTCCGATAGTGTAGTGAAACGCAGACGTTCGATATCTTCGCATCAAGCCTTATTCGCTAGAACACTCAAAAATTGTCGGCGAACGGAAATCTATAGATTTCCATTCGCCATTGCATGTTTTCTGAAAAGCTTCATTTAACAATGCAAAAGCATCCTTTGTCCAAATTATCTCCTTTTTTTGTGCTTCTATTTCGTTTCTCATAGGCAGCTGGACAAAATAACTGGTCTTCAGGGTCGCGGTGAACGACGCACCTGACGTCGCCGCACTTACCTGGGATAGCCGATCTCGATCTACTGTACAAGCATCCTGATCTTAGATATCCTTTCGTCTTCGACCGCCGGAAAGTGATCTCTTTCACAGGTCTGCCCTCTCTTCCCCACGTTCGTACGTGTTGCCTCCTTTGCCTCATCAGCACTCTCTATATTTACCGCTTTGCCATTTCGTCTCAAAATAAAGAGACTATCGAAAACAAAATATTTCTTTGTAATTTATTTTTTTTATTGGTATATCATATGCAATCGTAATTCAACAACCGTTCGTTCCACTGCACTGCCCTTTTGCACTACACTGCACTGCACTTTGCTGTTTGCAGCAAATCTCTTTTTGCTTTACATTCTGTGAAGACTGTCGTTTTTTAACCTGTCACAATCCACTGTTTTTTTTTATACAGCGGTATAATACTCTTGGACTTTATCTTCTGTAGAGTTTCCATTTGTCGTCGAGCGTCGGTCTTTCCCAGTCTGTATTCTTTTCTCCACGTTGGAAACCAAAGTCGGAATTCGAACGAGTTGCCTCCCTTTGAAAAAAAAAAGCTCTCTTCTGTTGGACGATTGCTGTCGTCTTTTGTTTTCCCCTCCCCCCGAACGTCAAGTCCATCGTCTTTAAGATAACGGTATATACTGTTGTTCTTTTTCGCGCGCAGCAAGTCGATCGTTGTTTTTGTGCTTTCTTCCATAACTTTCTTGTCCTAATCTTTTTTCTCTTTGCCTTTTTTTGTCGATAAATTTTCGACTCCTCTGTTCAGTTTATTCACATAAAGTTGTGCTTTCGTTCTCTCCGCAATCTCAGGCAAGAGTCGGAATTTGAATCGGAACACGTGCAGATCGCACCCTGCGTTGGTCATGTGTATCGAACGAGCCACTCCGTCCGCCTTCCTGGGTAAGTGGTCGCGACGTCAGGTTCCACGCGAACATGACTGTTTCCTTCCACGATGTTCGTTGTGGCATTTCCTGGTAAGTTCTCTTTCTATTCTCCATTGAAATCAAGGAGAATTCCCAACCTCAACAGCAGTCGCAACCTCGATCGGTCGCAAGCACCATGGATGGAACAGCGTCGGAGTACAACAGCGGATCGTGCAGCAAGTTGTTGTTGTGCCTTCTTCCATAACTTTCTTATCCAGATCTTTTTATTTGGTATGGTCCTCTTTCCCTTTTTGCGACTCCCCTGTCAGTTTATTTACATAAAGTTGCGCCTTATTTCTTCCGCAATCTCTGTTGTCGAGTTCCTTGGAAAGTGTGGCGACGTTAGTTTCCGTGCGAACATAATACCGGTTTTTTCCACGATATTCGTTATAGCCTTCCCTGGTAAGTGTGGCGACGTCAGGTTCAATGTCAGGTTTCCCCCCGAACTTCGAAATTCCACGAACGGCAGTATGTTGCCTCTTTGTCAGCAATCGGTACCTCGACTAATTTGTCTCTTTCCAATCAAAGTGTTTGCACAGTAGGTCTAAGTTTGGAACTGTCAAAACAGGAACGTTACTTCTTCCATTTCCTCGTCAATCAATCATCGCCGGTGTTCATCCACGAACGGCGGTATCTCGAACCTTACAGGTTCTTCTTTTATCTTGGCAACCTTTTCCTGCCAAGGTTCTCGTCGGTCGTTGTTTCCAGCATGTCTTCTTATCGGATTCTTTACTTTAATAATCTCTTTGTTAGAGCGCTTCTTCCGATTTCCCGAATTGTTTCGTTGCTTTATTTTTTGGTCTCTTCTCAGAAGTGTTTCTTCGAAGAGTCCGTAGGTCTCTCCATCCTGTACAGTCTCGTTGTACTCCATCGTTCTAAGACGGTTTGCGAAACTCGGGACGCCTATTATTAAAAAAAATATATGGTATGTTGCATTCCTTTGTATCTTGGTACATTTCTTTTTATCTCGAGTTGGTACCGAGAACTTCGGGATTATCATTACACGGACCGTTTCTTTTTTGGCACTTTCTTTTTATGTTAATCTTGTGCCGGTACACTTCTTCCTCCTGTGGGGGATCTAGCTTGCTTGCAGTTTCAATTTCCATCTTCGGCACAGTTTGCCCCACTTTGCCTCTTTTGCTTTACGAGTGTTGAACTGTGTTCAAGAGAAGAACTAAACTAGATTATTTTTCCCCTTTCGTCGTCACGGCCATCGTAAGTTGGCTCGTTTGCAGCATTCTTTTCTTTTTCTTAACATTTAGGAAATCCTCATTGCCCCACTTTAGTTTGTCGGCATTGTCCCGAATGAAAGAAAATCATCCCCTCGCTGCCACGACTTTTCGAATTCTGCTTATAGCATCTTCATAATCGAAAGTTTCTCTTCTTTATCTTGCATTTAAAAAAAATGCTGTCTTGATGAATTCTTATTCTTGCTTGTTATCATTGCCGAACATTCGGCGATTTTGCATAGACTAACGAGAGAACGTTAGTTTCATTTCTTCATCCTGCATTCTTTCTAGCACACGCACTCGTTCCTTTAAACGATTACGTGAAACAAAAACACTAGTCTCTTATACACATCTTTCTTTTCTCCACGTTCGAAACCAAAGTTGGAATTCGAACGAGTTGCCTCCCTTTGAACAAAATTCCGTCGTTCCGGTTTGCGATCTCTTCTGTTGGACGATTGCTGTAGTCTTTTGTTTCCCCCCCCCCCCAAACTTCAA